TTTTTTCTTTTGTAAAATAGAAACAAAATACAAAAGTGTATATATAAATTAATAGAGAGACAAGAATAACTTGTAATGAAGAGAAACTGGAATTGGTGCATACATATTATGTAATTGTTTATATTTGAAGATGTTGCATGCTGTACATAAAATACCAGGTACTTAATGACTCTTCTGCCTTATAATTAAAGTAATTATTCCCTGGATTCAGGTGCTAAGAACTCAGTTTTGACATTTCATTTGAGAGGATCATCCCACTAGCTTTCAGTTATGCCACTATGTCATACTCTCCATCATTTAGTATCACTTTTAATTCTTCTTATTTGTTCACCTTCCTGTATTTGTTTAGAGATACTTAAGTGTAAATATATTCCTCTTATTTTTTTAACCTTTAATTTTCTTCTTTTACTTCCTTAACAGGATGACTACATGTTCTGTCTTGTTTTTTATGCTGGAAGTAATTTATGTGAGTTTTCTCTCTCTCCAAGTCTAAAACCTGTCTCAGAATTCCTACCATCTCTTTTGTCATCATCTCATGTTTTAATTAAGAAAATATAAAACCATGTCACAGTATCCTTAAAACAATTACTCAGGTTTCAAAGAGCATCCTAATCAAATTTAAAGTTTACCTTTCAGGCATCTTTGTTGTCCCTTATTTTTCTTGATTTTTTTTCAATCTTCTTGTCTGTGTCTCCAGGGATAGGTTACTGTATAGTCCAGAAAAGTATGCCTTGCTTTTATAGAAATGTCATATTTTATTTAAAAAACAAATAGATTAACTTTTCCATATCAAAACTTTATTAATATTATCATCATAGGGCCTAGAAGCCCTAGTCAAGGACCAGAACCCCAAAGTGGTAGGCCTCAACCAATGGAGGGTAGTAATTGAATTTTTTCATTTTTCACTCTGGGCTTAAGTAACCCCATAACAAAAGAGATTGGCAATATACAAAAAGTTAGTTTGTGAGTACCCTACTCATATGGGTAATTGCTCATCTCACGTAAATAAAGGCGGGGGACCTTTGCAATCTTGCCCAAAGAGTTACACGGATGGTCTTGCTGGCTGCCAAACACGTCACAATCAAACGTTACTAAAATCCCTGCCAATTCTGAGCCCAGGAAGTTGTTACTGGAGGCCAGAGAGAAGGCATCATTCCATTTCTACTGAAATCCAAAACTTTCCTCTTTGCATTATCAGCACTTCCACTGGCTAATCGAAAAACCAAATGATCATTTTGACTAGATTAGACACAAAAACCTTGTTATTAAGTCATACAATCGGTTATAATAAGGGGCAGATTTTTCATGGCCATTGCACAGGTGCACAGGGACTGGAGAGGCATTCTCTTCCCCCTTACATCCTATGCACAAGGACTGGGCACAATTACAGTCTGTGCACTTGGGGGAGCACAAGGTCTATTTTCTCCTAGCAAACCCAGGGCACAAGGTACCCAGACATTCCAAACCCGTGAAAAAAATGCAGAAATTGGGCTTGTTTTCGGCTTAATTGGCTTGTGAGTTGCTTGTTGGCTAGTTTTTGGCTTGCAGCTTGTTGCTTCTTCTTTTTTTTTTTGATCGTCTCCTGGCAAGCAGGGACAAGGAGGGGAGAGAGAGTCAGGGGTGCACAGCAGGCCCACCACAGTCCCAGACTGCATGCAATCTGGATCTAGTCACATAGCGTATTGGGGTTCTTAGGGATTGGCTTGTTTTGGCCTTGTTTTGAAATGGGATTAGCTTTATTTTTGGTTTATTGTGAACATCAGGGTGCTTTTTTACCCCGTGAAAGTTGGCAACTGTGAAGGTACCACAAAGGGGACAGTGAGGAGGCACAGCCATGACCTCCAACACCAATGTACTAGTCAGTGGAGCTGGCAGGGTACAGAAAAGGTGGTATGTTACACCACAGTGCAGCATGTGAATTCTCCCTACATGGCACAGAAAGTAGTGACTTCATACCACTCCCAACATGGGTCAGTGCCAATTAGTCACAATCTGGCTGTCTGTAGATTAGGTGAAAGGCAGATCTCCCTTCTTCTGGCATGCTGTTTTGCTAAGGTGACTTGCTAATCATGTTTTATTTTTTTCATAAAAAACAATCACTGCCATCTTATTTTTCAAACAGATGTATTTAGTCTTTATTGTTTGTAAGATCAATATTTTGCTTTTCTTCATTTAATAGACAATAGGCCAAATCATAAAATCATGCTCATTTACACTTCCTGAGGATCTGGCCCAATCCCCCTGCATAGCTTTCTCTGGTTTGAATGGAGCTGCAATGAGTAAGGCTGTTTTTGTTTAACTTTATATAGCCCCTTATCTTACCACAACATTTTTTTGTTTAAGCACAAGTATCTCCCATGAACTCAGCACAGCTAGTTCTACTCTATTCTGGCCTAGAAGGAAAAAAACAGCTCTCCAGACCAAAGATAATCTCCCCTTTAGGTATGGGAATAGAAATTGTTAGCTAATTGCTGCAGCATAGGCTCTTGTAACTGTGGCGTGAAACAATTTGTCATAGTAAAGTAAGTCATTGCTTAAAATAGTAAACAGAAAAACTAGGCCAAGCCCTCACATAACATAACAGTAATGGCCAAACACATATAGCAGGGGGCCTCCACAAAAGCAAACATATTTTAAAGGTGGTGAAGAGAGGGTCAACTATGGTCCGAGAGCTGAAGGGCAAAACGTATTGCTCTCTAGTTCAACCACCTATTCATCATTTATTTATATCATGGTAGCACCTAGAAACCACAATGAAAAACTAGGGCCCCATTGTGAAAGGCGCTGTTACAGAGAAATAACAAGGAAGACAGTCCCTGCACCAGTAACCTCACAATTAGAGCTGTGTGGAGAAAGATAATTCTATTTCACAGAGGATTTCAATATTTCAAAATATGATTTGATTCTGCTTTAGAATGAAAATCAAAATTTTTTAATTACGGTGGGAAAGCAAATGGGCCCGTCTCTAGGACAGTCTGAATGGTGGGCTGCCTTGCAGCCACTGACCCTGCACCCCCTGGGATCTTTTGGGAGCCTGGCATGCTGAAGAGCTGACAGCCTGGGAACTTGGGGGCTGGCGTTCCCAGAGCTTCCGCAGTCTCAGCTCTCCATCAGCCTGCCGGGTTGGGCTGCCAAAGAGTTCGGAGCCAAGTGGGCAAACGGCCAGGAACCTTGTCCCCACAAACCATTTTGATTTTGACCAGTCAGCATTTTCCAATGGAATAACCTTCTGGGGGAGAATTTCTGATAAGTCCTACTCATAATCTGAATGTCAGATAGGATCCAACCAGTGGAGGAAATGGACAAATGGAGTGTGTGGGGCGGGGAGGTGAGATAACAATAAAAAGAACAGTTTAGCACCAAAGTCTAAGACACAAATTATTATTTACACCTAGAGATCTAGTAGAGGACATTGTGTCTGTAGACACAGCCCTGCACCAGCATCACCAACATATGAACACAGCTCTGCAAAGGGACCATTCCTCAGAAAGCCCCTTCTGAGGTAAAGCCCCTCACCTGCTCTTACGTTCACCTTGGAGAAAGTTATTGTAAGCTTGAAAGGATACAGCTGCTTTCTCCCCTGGTGGCTGGCCAGTGAGCTATGATGCTGTCCTCTTTTTTTTTTTTTTTTTTTTTAAATCCAACCAATTCTGTCCACATATCTATTCAAGTGACATCATCATAGGACCTAATCACATCAGCCACGCCATCAGGGGCTCGTTCAACTGCACATCTACCAATGTGATATATGCCATCATGTGCCAGCACTGCCCCTCACATTGACCAAACCGAACAGTCTCTACGCAAAAGAATAAATGGACACAAATCTGACATCAGGAATCATAACATTCAAAAACCAGTAGGAGAACACTTCAACCTCTCTGGTCACTCAGTAACAGACTTAAAGGTGGCAATCTTGCAACAGAAAAGCTTCAGAAACAGACTCCAACAAGCAACTACTGAACTTGAATTAATATGCAAACTAGATACCATCAATTTAGGCTTGAATAGAGACTGGGAATGGCTGAGCCATTACACACATTGACTCTATTTCCCCATGTTAAGTATCCTCACACCTTCTTGTCAAGCTGCCTGAACTGGGTCATCTTAATTATCACTACAAAAGTTTTCCCCCCTCCTGCTGATATTTGCTCATCTTAATTGATTAGCCTCTTAGAGTTGGTAAGGCAACTCCTACCTTTTCATGTTCTCTATATGTGTATATATATCTCCTTACTATATGTTCCATTCTATGCATCCAATGAAGTGGGCTGTAGCCCATGAAAGCTTATGCTCAAATAAATTTGTTAGTCTCTAAGGTGCCACACTTACTCCTGTTCTTTTAGCCAACAGCGTGGCTCTTTCCTTTCCCTTACCAGGGTTGGTGTATGGCTCATCGGTCCCACAGAGACAATCAGGTCCCCATCACCTGGTGCAACCCCAAGGCAGCACCCAGGCCCCATCTCCGCTGCCACCGGCAGGCAGGCGGGCAATGCTGCAAGCGGTGCGGCATTGCCTGACCTGCCCCGGCCCCTGGAGCGGGCAGTGCCCATGGCGGGCTTTCTGCTTTACACTCCGGCTCCAAGCGGGGGGCCGGGCACCCTCCCCCCCGAGCGAGCCTGGCGCGGGCTTGGACGCGCGCCAGGAGGAGCGAGTAGTTCGTGCCGAATGCCCGGGGAATGCCCGGGGGCGAGGCAGCTCCCGCGGTCACCCGGGCTCGGAGCCTCCCCTGGGTGGCAGCCGGGCAGGGAGGCGGAGACCTCGTACCTTTCCCAGCGGGGGCCGTCCCCCGGGGTGGGCCGGGCTAGGAGCGCTCCGGGAGCGGGGAAGGGAGGGTGTGAGAGACTCCCTAGCGGTGGCTGGCTGTCCCTCCCGCCTTCCTTCCCCGGGGCAGCGCCGGGGCTGCATCCCTGCCCTCCCGCCCCTGCAGTGGCTGCCCCTTTCCCTCCTTCATCGCGCACACTCCTCCTCCTCCTCCTTCCCCCCACGCCCCTCCGGCCATGACCACCTCCTCCCCCAAGCCTGAGAAGAGACGCTGGAGCTTGGGACGGCTGCCTGGGTCCCGGAAAGGGAGCATGACTCCCAGCAAGAAGCCCTCCGCCCTGGAGCTGGCTGAAAACAGCCCCAATGCCCACTATGCCCCTATGCCCCCCGCCCAGGAGCAGATGCAGCAGGGCTCCAGCCAGCCGGCGGATCCGGATCGGGGCGAGCCGCAGTACAAGAGAGAGATGGTGGTGGTGAACACGGACTGCCCCCGGCCACACATCAACTTGGACCCTCGGGTCTCCATCTACAGCATCCGCAGACCGCTGCTGAGCAGGACCAACATCCAAGGCAGGGTCTATAACTTCCTAGAGAGACCCACCGGCTGGAAGTGCTTCGTGTATCACTTCACTGTGTGAGTAGTAAACTTCGCTTCCCCCTGGGGGCCGCCGCTGCTGGCAGTGCCCTGGTGGGGCTATCAGCCACCACTCGTGTACCCCGCTCTCTGCCCTCCAATGTCCTTCTTCCCTGATGTCCTGACAGCTGCTTGGGGTCAAATGCTGCTGCCGTAAGGCACTACTCTGGCAGGAGGGGGAGCAGGGGGTTGCGTGTGTTCTAGGCTTTGACACTGTAATTACAATCAGTTGTTGAAGGATCTGACTTATTCTTGGAAAGGACAAACTGCATTGAGCTAAGGTGCCTTTCAGACTCCAGGCAGAGTGATTTACAAAGCAATCTGTGGTAAATTTCACATCCCTAGTTGTGGTGTTTGTTAATAGTGTGGTGTTGCTCTCCCTCTGTCAGAGCAAAAATTTACTTTGCTGGGTCAGGTGTATTTGCGACCATGTAGGTCTTATGCAGATTCTAAACTGCTCTCATTTTAGGTTTCACAAACAAAATCTACCTAGCCAAGTAAATGTAAATCTTCTTATCTAGTCTGGCCTGTATCTATTTTTAATGAATGTGTTTGACCTATGTGTGTTCCATTCATTCATTACTGTTCTTGGTGAGCAAGGCATGAAGTGTTGAGAACTCCTCATTCCAGCCATGTTACCAGAGCAAATAAATTTTGTTTTTCAGAGGGCAGTTTAATCTAACTGTCTGTTAATGCTTGTTTGAACAATTATTCTGGGCCTGATTCTGTTACCCTTTCTTATATTGCATAGTGCCTCACTCTGCAAGTAGTCCCACTGAAATCAGTGGGAAAACAGTGGGACTGTTAATTAATTAATTGACTCATGGCCCGCAGGGGGAGGAGGAGGAAAATGTTAGTGTAGGTAAGGGCATCAGAATCTAGTTCAAAGTGAGTAAGGGTAGTAGAATTAGGCCCTCAGTACCTTTAAATATTGCATCAAACATCTTTTTAATGACTGAAATGAGCAGTAATGACACCTGTATTGAAAGTCTAGCTTATTAGCCCACCTCCTCACTTTACCTGGCTTTTACCTCTTTCCCCAGAACCTACATATTGGCAGGAGGTTTACTGAATTTCTTTAATTATGAAGTATTGCAACACTTGACTTACGGTTTTCTGGTAGGCATAATAAGCATTGAACATCAAACTTTTGCCAATATGTATCTCATTCCAGATTGTGTATGAGGAAACCAAAGCAGCCCTATAGATGTGTCAGAGCGGGCTTTTATTAAAAAAAAAATAATCCAAGAACCTGAAGACATCTTACATATTCACTGGAATAAGAACATAGCATCATCAGGTGCCTTTTATAATAGGGTGTTCTCTTACAGTTGACATAAATTATTTGTTTCTTCTTGTTGGTATAGAAAGAGATAAAGTAGGTTACATCATCATTCTTTGATGCAAATAAGGATTTTAAATAATTAATTCTTAATTATTCAGTTACAGTATATTATTTCTTTCACCATCCCCTTCACATTAGGCAACTCCATTATTCTGCTGCTGTAGCTCCACTGGAGGAAGATAGATGATGGGTTATGTTGTAGTGGCAACTGTAGCTTTACCAGGCCTGATTCTATTGTGGAGACAGTCCTTCACTACATTCCTTCAAGCTTATAATGGTGCCAATACTTCTGGTGATTGTAGTCAAGAGAGAAGATGAGTTCTGGAGTATGCTAGAGCTTCTGTGCTGTAGGTGTGTTCAGGTGCTGAATTATGTACAATGTCTATAGTGTCCTTTCACATGGAGCAATGTGTCAGTCCTGAACCAACACAGTGGCGGATCAGTGCTGTTGTTCTTCAGCAGCTTACAAATGTATGCATGAAAAATTAATGCTTTTTAATCTCGATGTTATAAAGGGTTTACATAGCCTTTGAGCAATTTGCAATATTACTTCCAGGTAATAAGATCCAGGAGAAATGTTATGGATGTCTTGGATCAGTTTATTTAGGTAAAAAATGATCCAGTGGCTGAAGGCAAAATTGATGTTAGTGTGTCATAAAATCACTTTTGAAAGCTGCATAATACAGAGGTTTCTCTGTCTGATCAAGCCGGTTCTATCTGAACTGGCATCTTTGGCATTTTAAGGGCCCAGTCCTAGGAACAGGATCCAAGTCAGTTCTGGTGACTGTTTTTTTAAAATTCTGATGATCAAAGCAATTATTTGAAATAAAGAATAAAGTTATAAATAGTATTATACAGTAAATACAGAATCTTTCATCTGTAGAAATAAGTGCTGTATATGCCCAAAATTGAGGCACCCAAAATAACTTTTGAAAAGCTTTGCTAATATCTTCTAAAATTACAGTATTAGGAGTTTTACCTTAATGCTGGGTGTAGGAAAGATACACGTGAAGAGCAGAAGTCATGGCCAAGTGTGTCCTCAATAGAAAACACGCCAGTGACATTCATGCTACTGTTTTATGGGCATGCCCATTTTCAGATTGTAAACCTACATCCAGGGGTTTAAACGGGGCAGTAGTTGGGCCATGTCAGTTCTCTCCTCAGTGAAAAATGGAACAATTCTGTTGCCCCCCCTTTTTTTTTTAAGTGTGGGAGAGAACAATTTGACACTTTTTGAGTTATACAACTGAAGAAAGAAATGAAGATGGTTTCTTTGCTTCCTTAATTTAAACCTTATGGCCAGATCCTCAGTAGGTATAGATTGGTATAACTCCATTGACTTTAATGGAGCTATGCTGATATATGCTAGCTGAGGATCTGGCCCTAATTTTTCAAAAAGAATTTTGCAGGTATGCTAGTAGGTAGTATGGGCTGGTCTTGTTTGCTGGGTTATTTTTTCAGGGGTGGGACAGATAAATTAAAATCCTGTAATTCTGTTTTAGGAATGGAATTACAGGGTGCACAGAAAACTTTTAATTTTTTTTCCCCAAAGGACTGTGAGCGCACAAATGCATGGCATTAGCATTGACCCCAGTGAGCAGCCACTGCTCCAAAAGAACTGTTCCGGTGAATTGATGAGTGACAGTGATACTAAATATTCTCAAACACCTCAATGTGCCTGGCTAAATGTCTGGTGCGTGGCTATAAGGAGACAACAGCAGGGTGCTACCTCCCCAGTGCACTCCCATTGCCTCCCAAGACTGGCATTCATAAGTAAAGTTTTTTTTTTTTTTTTGGAAACCTGACACTTGATGCCTTCTACCAGCAGGGGGAGCCGAACTTATCTTTTCTTCTGTATGCTGTGGGCAGCAGACTCTACTCTCGTTGCACCATCTCCAGCAATCCTGCCCTCATCCTGGGGTTCCTCCGGGACTTTTGGTCTGCATTGTGTGCCCCTCCAGCTCTCTTGCCTCTCTCCCTGTGATTCCTCGGACTTCCTTGGGGACATCCTTCCCAAACCAAACCCCTAGTGCGCTTGTTCACCACTGAGCGACTGGGCCAAGGATAGGGTTTTTTTAGATGACAACCTCCAGCAGCTGGAGGAGACAGCAGTTTTTACTGGTGGTTGAGAGGAAAAAGTCTCTCATGACTCCACAGAGCCAAAAACCTGGCCAGCTGCTAGACTAGCTGGATGCAGCAGTGAGTTGCCATTGAGCTGGAGAAAAGAGCAGAAGGCCAGTATCTCTGACCAAAAGCCAGAGGTTAGGCAGTTCTGTTAGGGGTGTGGGATAATGGACTAGGTGGATCTTTGGCCTGATCCACTATGGCCATTGCTCTGTTCCAGTTTCTAGCAACTAGGGTTGCCACCTTTCTAATTGCTGGTAACCAGATCCCCGAGGCTCCACCCCTGCCCCGCCTCTCCTCCTCAAAGTCCTGCCCCAGCTCCACTTCTTCCCTTGAGGCCCCTCCCCTGTTCCATCTCTTCCCCGTTAGGCCCAGGCCCCTTCACTTGCTCCTCTCCCCTGCTCCCCCTGTCGCTCACTGGATCATTTCAAGGAGCCTGCCTGCAGGTAGGACATGGTCCTGGCTGAGCAGGAGCTGAAGCAAGTTAATGACCCCGTGCCTGTCCCCACCCCACAGTAACCGGACTTTTGGTTCGGGTGCCATTTAGGGTTGCCCTGTCCACAGAAACTGGGCACCTGGCAACCCTGAGTCACCCAGACACAGAAGCCAAAAACTGGACTGTCCGGGTAAAAACTGGATGGGTGGCAACCCTACTTTCTACACTGGAGGAAGTGGGACACTGAACAGACAAGCTGAGGTTCTTTGATAGAATTGGATGTACTGTGGGAGAGCTGAAGAGCTATTGTTGGTCAGGGACTTTAGTAGATTATATGTGAGGTGTGCTGTGTCTTTTTATATGGCCCCCATCATCATCTGCATGTCCTTCAAATATTTAAAAATAGAAATATCAATCTCTTTCTCTCTCTCTCTCTCTCTGCCTTCCCAGCTTGTAGGAGAAACAGCTTCATTAGTTTATTGTTTTTGTGTGTTGTGTGCACAAAGAACTGACTGAGGGAAAGCAAAGTTGAAAGAAAGAGTTCTGCATTTAGTTGTGCATGTGGTGAGTGCCTTAATTATAGTTTGTCTTGTGGGTGTGATTTCCACAGCCGAGGCTCAGCTCCCATGGAAGTTCTGTCTTCTCCACTTGTGAGCCTCTCTCCACTGGACAACAGTTGCATTGTTGTGTTGGACTATAGCTATCTGGGACATGGGAGGTCACTGTCATGTAGGGAGAGATGCCCTCTCAGAGATCTAGGGCCAGTCCCATGGAGAGTTGTGAATATCAGGACACAGAGGCCTTGAACAGGACTCCGTATTCAGGGACAGGTGCACCCAGGCCATGTTTTCACAGTAACCTGTTATTAAGTAGGCAGGCTGCTGCATTTTGTACAAAATGGTGCATTTTCATAGAATCATAGAATCTCAGGATTGGAAGGGACCTCACGAGGTCATCTAGTCCAACCCCCTGCTCAAAGCAGGACCAATTCCCAACTAAATCATCCCAGCCAGGGCTTTGTCAAGCCTGACCTTAAAAACCTCTAAGGAAGGAGATTCCCCCACCTCCCTAGGTAACCCATTCCAGTGCCTCACC